GGCTTCAAGTGATAGGCACTCTTCATCATCTTTATCCCTTTTTCTTACTTGCAGAAGCTCAAATATTGGATTCCAACTATGAGATTGGTAGCAACTGTCGTAAAATAGGTAACAACCCGTATTCTCCAAATTGACGACCGCCAAGGGTCTGTGAGTTCTTTAACACCCTTTTTTTTTGGCTGAACTTTATATTTTAATTGCCAAATCACTGTCTTCTTATCCTTGGCACCTTAAAATCGAAGCATATGGCGTTTATTTGACTTATGATGGGAAATAATTATATATGAGATGTCTTCTAACGATCATCATCAACAGATTTGAGTCTCTGCCGCTAGGGGTTGTTGGCTTAGAAACGTGGTAGTCATTCTAGACAAACCCGTTAGAGTAAAAGAAAAACTTGTAGAAATTTGAGTCATTGTAACAGCAGGCGATATATAGCCAGTGCACAAACGAACGTAATGTCAAGCCCGGGTCATTATCAGACAAAACCCCCAAACACACACACAGGCACGCACGCACCCCTATCTTCGCTTGCCATTGGCAGGTTGATGGCGATGTATTAGTATATTAGTTTACTCAGTCAGGTACACGATCAAACCTGGTAGTACCTGCCGTTTTCAATGCTCATTGAAGTATTCTGTGAAACATACCTGGATATTGGCCAAGCCGCTCTGCCAAACGCAAAACTCCCGACGTCAGGTTGATATGGCCGAGCGGATTTGGCCATAGGTATAATCTTGAACCAGGTTTCTACTTGATTTGCTGGCGAAGAACGTCACTAGCGAGGACACAGTAATTATTTAAGCCGTCCCTAGATTACTGTTGCTGCTACATGACTTATGAAGTGTTGTAGTTTAAACCCACCCTCCCTCGCCATCTTTCAAAGGAACAATTGCTTAAGCACAGCAGAAACACGCCAGCTTCATCATCGAAAAATACGCATAACCACCCGCCCTTAAAGATAGGAGAAGTGGAGACAGAAAGCAGAAGACTACTACTGCTAATCCCTCTTCTTCTCCGCAGCAGCCGCTTCGGCCACCAAAGATCCTTGCACGACAACACTATCATCATGGATATAAAGCTGCATGACCTTGGGGCCGGGATAGTGACGGACAGCGTGGGCAACCCACCAAATCGCGGTGAGCGCCACGACGCCGACGAGAATGACGCTGTTGTAATTCATTGTTTCGACCGTGGTTGGGTAAACAAAGGCTGGATTAAATAATAAGTTGGGTTAGATGGTTAGCTTTCTCTATTTCGGTTGTCTGATGCCGAATTGATGACCCGTGGTTTCAGTTTGAGGGAGGTTCAGGGAGGGGACTAACGGAAGCAGTAGAACACGTCAAAGAGGGTGATGAACAGTACGGCCAGAACGTTGATCACCATACCGAACTTGCCCAGATGGAACGGGCCCTTAGGGAAGTGCTTGCGGCCCGTGAGGACGTTGGCCAAGAAGGGAATGGCATACGACACTGTAGTTAGGATGATGAAGGAGCCTGCCAGGTTGACGAAGGCAGTCGTGCTGCCCAGTGGGATTGCACCGAGGCCGGTAGCGATGACAGCTTTAAAGAGTCAGTAGACATAATTTATGATGCGTGTAGTGAAGTGGGTTGATTTGCTTACCAACAAAGAGGGTTGCAGGAACCGGGCAGCTCAGCTTTTCGTTGACCTTGCTGAACAACGACGACAGCGGCACGGCATTGTCTCTAGCGAGAGCCCAGTAGATCCGGGAATTGGTCAGAGCCGTGCCAATGCAGCAGAGAAGAGTGGAGCACCAGATGATGAAAAGGAGGCCGAAAGTCGCGCCGAGGTTTTGGGTGCCATCCGAGTTCGCCGTTGCTTGCGCATAAATATTGGCCAGGGGGTATGAGTTGAACCCGCCGCTCAGGGCGCTGAAGTCAGTGATGGCATAGGAGAGAGTAATGGCAAAGAAGAACGCGTCTAAATTGTACCGAGAAAAGGGTGTTTAAGATGGTTAGCGAGAAACCCTTCTATCCTTGGCCATGAGGAGTATCTCAGCGAAAATAGAGACTTACATAAAAACCCAAGACCAATCTGGAGGCCAATCGCAATGGGAAGATCTCTCCGGGGATGAGGCAGCTCCTCAGCCATGTGCGTAATGGCATCGGGGGTACCAATGGTAAAGGCACCGTTCAAAACACCCAGGAGGAACGCGACACCTCCTTGCCACCCGGTCAGATTGTTTTCCTCAAACGAGCCCCAAACGAAGTAGTTGCTAGCGTGTTGTTTGGGCATTGCGGCTACCACAATAATGGTGACGATGCCGCCGACGATGACGAAAAACATGCCCGCGTGCTGCGTATAAGGGATGGCCTTGTTGGCGAATATGACGATGGCCGTCGATAGCCACAGGACCAAAAGGTACGCAATGTAAACATGCCACGCCTCTGGTACGTATGTGTCCTGGTGATACACCACGTACATGTTGACCGAGATATTCGCGCATATCTGAACAAGTGCTGCCAAATCGAACATCCAGCCGTAAAAGTTGATCCATCCAGTGAAAAATCCAGTCATACGGCCCCATTTAGGGCCGCCGGCGAGAGTGGCCCAGTGGTAGACACCGCCTGCTGTGGGAACAGAAGACGCAAACTATACATACAAAAACAAGAGGTTTGAAAGTCAGTTTCGCCTCGCGGTGATGGGATCTGATAGGAGGTGGTCAATCAGCTAAGAAAACGCATACCTCGGCAAGACTGAGACCAATGAAGGAGTAGTAGAAGAGGGCCACAATAAGCCCAAAGATAAGACCCGGCGGGCCACCATTGACTGACGAAGGTTAGCGACACTGAGTTCATTGAGAAGAATTTCCATGATTTTGGGGGGGGATTAGAGGGGATAAAGAAAGGGGTGATTAAAAAGCCAGCATACGAATGGACACCGAGATCGAAGAGCCCAGGGCCACCCAGGCATTGTCGACCGTGATAGCAATGCCCGCCAGTCCCACAAGACCATATTGACGCTTTAATTGGTCTTTATAGCCCGAGGCGTTAATGACAATGCCGTTCTCAACAGCAACCACAATCTCATCTTCAGACCCGCCGCCCTCCTTGGCAAGAGTCGTGTTTTTGGTCTCCTCAGCCATATTGCTCACAGCCCTCGGCCCTGAGTGGGATTATCAGAAGTGGTGAGCGCTCTTCTGAGGGTCAAGAGTAATAAGTGTTAAGGCGGTGCCAAGGCGACTCAGTAAGGCTACAGTCGCACCAAGTTAAGAAACACAACGAAATGCAGAATGAGGAAAAGAAAAGTGTGAGAATATTGAAAGTCGGGAAGCCAGAGCCGGCAACAGGTGTGTGATAACAGTCAGGTAGAGCAGGGGTTCGCCCTCTGTTATTGGTGATGCATAAAGGAACCGCGTTGGTTCAGGATCTGGTCGTTCAGCAGATGTGTACCTGTGCAATGCAATGTACATGTACCCCATAGCACAGCCATCCATCCATCCATCCACCAGACATAAAAGTTCCCCAAGGGAACATAGGGCTGACAATAGGTGACGGAGCTATCTCTATCGTTACTGATAGAGCACGCGCAGCACCGCGCCTGGGGGACGAGAATGAGATGAGAGAGAAACGTATTGATAAGAGCTGTGACTGAAACTTTTTCGTTCGACTGGGTGGTCCGAAACCCACCGCTTCCCAGCCCTTCCGTTCGGGAGCTTTGATATTGGGCAAGGATTTCAGCCCACGGACGTATCAGACGAGTTCTTCGGCCAGCGCCCAGCAGCGCCGCCAACCAGGGTGTGGCCCGCTAACCTTGTTGAAGCTTATCATCACTTCCCCCTCCTTATCACCCGAATAGTGTGGGGGTGTTGGTCTCCTTCCCTCTGTCGGCTCTGTGTAACAGGGCCGTCATCCTGTGAAGCTGTCGATGTCCTGGAGAGATGATGATGCATGAGAGACAAACAAGCGCGAAAGGACGTGACGCTGTTAGCTTGGGATGTGGTCCATAGCGGCCGTTGTCCCGCTGTGGATTTCGCCAATGGAACCCAAGCAGTCCCAAAGCCTTCCAGGTTCCATCTTGGTATCGTCATCTTGGTGACGCCTTGGGACCCGCAAACATATCGGGTGTGCCATCATTTGGTCGAGGCAATTGGGCATTTTAACCGAGTTCGGAATAATATAAGACAAGGAAGGAAATCAAAGAAGCTGGTGATCCGTGAAAGGTTGCAAAAAATTGAAGACCATGCCGTGCCGTTTCTCAGCGCTGTGGACCGGCGCAGCAGTGGAGTGAGGGGGAACATTTTCGTGGGGTTCGGCCAAGAGTCCCAGGTTGAGTTGAGCTCAGGTTCCACCCACGAAGCCCTCACGTGCAACTTAAAAGTTGAGATCCACCACCACAACACAGCTAACAAGGAGTAAGAAAAAGACATCAGCAAAAAATTAAGTCAACTAAAATAATTGAACCCATAACAGTCGACACGAGCCGGATTTGAACCGACGCCTCCGAAGAGATAAGATACCACGAACTAATTCGAGTCTCACGCTTTAGACCACTCAGCCATCGTGCCTTTCAACTTTCCTGTTGAGGTGAGGTTGCCTATCGCGGGTGTTGGCCAGAGGCCAGCAAGCAAAACAAAGACATCAGAAACCTGACGGTGAGGTTTCTCGCATAAGTATGCGGTTAGATTCAAAATGGTGTCAGCAAATAAAAGACGGTCAAACGGATAAAACCTATAGGTCTCATGGAGCTAGTTGGGCATGAAACTACTAAAGGGTTAGCCGAGTCGGCGGCATCATGTTAACAACGATCATGATCTCATATTAATGGACATTACTAAGGACCGCTTCAAACTCTATGAGCAGGCAATACTTTATGTTAAAGGGCATCATTGAATTCATGCGGTACATAGGAGAATGGAATGGGTTTTCGTAACTCTCACTTCCTTGAGTTATTCTCACAAACTCCACCATCATCTGGCATGAGTGGGCCTGCCGCTTACTGGCGTTGTACCGAGCCCGAGTTCCATCCAATCCAAATAAGGCACGATGGCTGAGTGGTCTAAAGCGTGAGACTCGAATAAATTTCGGTGATATCTTATCTCTTCGGAGGCGTCGGTTCAAATCCGGCTCGTGTCGACAGTGGTTGAGCTTTTGCCTTTTGACTCTTCTAAATACTCGGTGTTTATACGGGACATTGAGGAGAATGTCTGGTGGGAAGAGCATCATGTGTTAGGTTCGTACAACATGAGGACCGAGTGAGCTCTCAAAGAAAGGCGGCAGTTAGACAGGAGAGCATATATGATCAGCTGAACCTCTAGAAAAAAAGATGCCCCCCCAAAAAAGGGGGAAAGCAAAAAAAGCCAATATCATTTTTAAGATATTGCTACAAGCAAGGTATGAGATTCTACCAAATTTCATACTCCATATTAGTGCTAGGTATCGGCCTCGGCCATAGTATCATGCCAAGCCGTACTACAAATGCAGCTAGCCAACGAAATCCCCTCTATCCTAGAAAATGCAATGCTGTTACCACCCACCGCAATGAGATTCTGTGAAGAAAATCACGCATTTGTTCCCTCTTCTCGACCCCATCTGGCTGTCTCGTCCCCGTCGACCCACTCCTTCTCGATGTATCCAAGCTCGCGCTTGACCTTCTCTACTGTCGCCTTGTCTCCAGTATTCTTTCCAATATTATCGCTAGTATGGTTGTCAATAATATGAACTTGTACGTTTGTTGTATGTGAAACCTGGGGGCGACTTACCTGATTTTGATGGCTGGCCCGCCTCCTGCCGAGCTCAACTTTATAACAATGTTCAGAGGAGTGGACTTCTTGCCCGTTGACATGTGCACAAAGTCGTTGGTAAAAAAGGTTCCGACTCCGAATGTGGCTTGGAAGCCGGCTTCATCCGCAGCCTGCTTGTACTCCAAGCATCGCTCAATGTTCAGAGAGTCGGAGAAGACAATGACCTTCTTGTCTTGTATGCCCTGCTCGTCATAGAACTTGCGCATGACCTTGACAAAGGTCTTGGGGTCTCCGGAATCTTGTCGAACGCCAGTGAAAATCTCAGCATACGTTTTCTTCTCCTTGTGTGTATTTGGCAATGCGGTCACCGCCGAAATAAACGAGTCGGCAATGCTGGGCTTCCGCGAAGTCTTCGGTGCGGCCTCTGTGATGATGACTGGCTTACTGAATGCATTCAGGAACTCGGGCGTGCCGAAGGTGTCCGTCAACGCGATGCCGAGAACACCCTCGCCAAAGCAGCCAACCCAGCGTGACAGTGCCTCTTCTGTGGCAATTTTGTAGTCCCCATTAATGGCAGCAATGCCCATGAACCACTCATGTGCGACAGTGCCGACGGGAGGGATGCCAAAGCGCATAGCGAGGTGAACATTGCTGGTCCCGGAGAGCTTTCCCGGCAAGCCGGCCTTTTCGGCCTCTTTGCTGGCTTTCGTCAGCCCTCTAAACACCAAGGCCTGCGTATGGTAGTCCCGCCGACGACGAGTTCCGAATTCGGAGAAGACGCAGCCGCCTTCCAGCAGCCGCATGCCCTTCTCGAATGCCTGGTCTTCCTGCCCATCATAGGCCCAGTCTGTGTCCATGAACTTGAAGTAGGCTTCGGACGTCAGGGCGAGAAGCGGAATCTCATAGAGAATCGTCTCTGCCCAGGTTCCGCTGATCTTGATGTCCAGGTCTCCAATGTCGGTCTCAGCTCCGGTATTCTCGCCTACGGGTAGGAACTTGGTCACCACCTGCTCTCGAGGCCGAAGACGGAACTCTTGAAGGAACTCCAGGTAGGAGGGTGTCAAGTATGGGCAGTGCTCCTTCAGATACTGGTGCTCCTCTGCGGACAGAGAGATGTTTCCGAGCTTCCTAACTTGCTCCTCAAGCCAGTAGAAAGCAGCCCGAGAGAGCTTTTTCTCGGGTGTCCGGTTGGTGAACGAGTAGCTCACCGTGACATCTTTATAATACTTCAGCACGGCGCATTGCATCGTCAACTTGTAAAGATCCGTGTCGAGGAAGGAGATGACCCCCTCGGGATAGGGTGAAGAGCTGTTGAAATCCATGACGAAGTGAGTTTCCGATGAGACTATAACGAACGGCCCAGTTGGCTCGAGAGTTGGAACCAGCAGCGCAAACAGCGTTTGTGATGAAAAGGATTGTTGGGTTGGCTCCGTTGCCAGTCCCAGCGCTGAGTCAGTCCCGAGAGAGCAAAGACAGAAGAGGTCCCGGTGCGATGAGTGAGCCTAGATAAGAGAGGTGGGCAATAGCAAGCGAGAGCGTTTGTGATCACGGCAACGAACTCCAAGCGAGTTTATTGTCCGGCAACTGAGTCAGAGAAGAGTCAAAACTCAAGTTTGCGCGTAAGGTTAACGTTGATGCGGTATGCTCCGTGCCTTTGGGAAATGGGGGGGTAAAAAGAGGAGGTTATTCTAGGTAATGTCTTTCAGTTTTGAGGCTGACGGAAAGGTTGTTTCACAACCTCCTCAGCTGCGCAATTAATCGTTCCCAGTGAGGGCGCCCGGAGGGATAGGGATGACACAAGAACGTGAGAGAGGGCGCCCGCACATGGTGGGGTAGTGGGGTCAAGCACCTCCTTCTACAGGGCAGCACATTAATTCCTCCTCCAAGCAGCTTTCAGCCCGCCGTTTTCTGTAGAGGCGCTGCAGGGACCTTCAGTCCCGCGCCTGGCCTAGAGATCGCGGTTGCTGCCGCACAGACCGCACCTTAATTCTCACCGCAAAAAAAAGTTCTGGACGGCAGAAAAAAAAAGTTGCAGGGCAGCTTCAAACACATCGCAAGAGAGAAAGCGAGGCCCCGCCAAGAAAGTTGGAATTGGATGCCATCGACGATTTTCTGGCAACTCTGAGGCCAGGGAAATCAACCGCCGATACCATAAATCATGGACATCCACCGCTGCCGCTTCGTCCCGTACCCAGCCTCGGCCATCAATGCGGTCGCATTCACGCACTCGTCGCTACCAGCCGTGTCCTTGACCAAGAAGCACCTCCAAAAACACATCCAGGTCCGCCTCGCTATTGGCAGGGCGAACGGCGACGTCGAAATATGGAACCCGCTTAATGGTGCCTGGCACCAGGAGCTCGTGATTTCTGGCGGCAAGGATCGGAGCGTGGACGGGCTTGTCTGGGTCACCGACCCTGACGAGGAGATGCTCGATGGCAAGATCATCCACGGCAAGTCGCGCCTGTTCAGCATTGGCTACACCACAACCGTCACCGAGTGGGATCTTGAGAAGGCGCGGGCGAAGACACACGCGAGCGGGCAACACGGAGACATCTGGTGCCTCGGCGCCCAGCCTCTTAACCCAAGCAGCAAGAGCGCCGTGACCCCCAACAACAGGAAACTCGTTGCCGGTACCGTCGACGGGAATCTCGCCCTGTACTCGATCGAGGACGACACTTTAACCTTCCACAAAACCCTCATCCGAACTCCCTCGAAGAAGACCAGGATCGTCAGCATTGCCTTCCAGTCCAGCAACGTCGTCATCGTTGGATGCTCTAACAGTACCATCTGCGCATACGACATGCGGAGTGGCGCGTTGTTGCGACAAATGACACTCGGGACGGATTTGACTGGCGGCGGCTCCAAGAACATCATTGTGTGGTCTGTCAAGTGCCTCCCTAACGGTGACATCGTCTCCGGCGACTCAACCGGCCAGGTCTGTATCTGGGACGGCAGGACATATACCCAAGCACAAAGAATGCAGAGCCATACGCAGGATGTGTTGTGCTTGGCAGTCAGCGCCGATGGCTCTAAAATAGTCTCGGGCGGTATGGACAGAAGGACAGCTCTGTACGAGCCCATGGCTAAGCAAGCCGGCCGCTGGTCCAAGGTCTTCCATCGGAGGTATCATGGCCATGATGTCAAGGCCATGGCTTCTTTTGAGGGAAGGGGGATGAGCATTGTGGTTTCGGGAGGTTAGTTCGCCAGCCTCCATAGACGACGAAGGGACGATGCTAACAAATCTATAGGACCCGACGCCAGCCCTGTAGTCTTCCCCCTCCGCGGTGCCGGCAAGGAGCATCACAGAACGCTCCCTCATCTTCCTCAGAACGCCACTCTACAAAGCGCTCCTAAAGCACGATTCGTTGTCAGCTGGTGGGGTAATGAGATTCGAGTCTGGCATCTGCCCAACCCGGCTCAGACACTTCTGGACGACCCCCATACTGACGCAAACTCCCACAAAAACCGAAAACTTCTTGCCCAGATCATTGTGAAAGGCGAGTCTAACATTACTTCTGCCGCAATCAACCAAGATGGTACTCTCCTTGTCGCCTCGACTGCTACAGACTTGAAGGCGTTCCAGTTTGACGTAACTGGCGGCCAACTCCGTATCAAGAAGGTAGACATGGCGGCCTTTAGCAAGGGCGCTACAAAGGTCGAAATTTCGCCCAATAGTCTTTGGGTATCCTGGGTTGAGGATGGTAGCAAGGTCATGATTGCCAAGGTTACGGCAGCTTCACCAACTACCGGAACCTCTTACACAATCTCAGGGCCGTCTAAGTTGCAACGACTGCGACGCCAGATTCCCAAGAATATCCTCCTTGGCGGGCTTGGCTGCTACGATCGGAACGTTACACAGATGGCGTTCTCCCCCGACAGCAGGCTGCTCTGCGTCGCTGACCTAGCTGGATACATCGACACCTGGGTCCTACGCGCTCCTGGCGAGAAGAAGCAGGTCACAGGTGGGGAGGCTGACGACGCCAACGAGCTTTCCGATGCGTCGTCAGATGACTCGTCAGACGAAGAGGCGGGTGACGCTGGAAGCGAGCGTTGGGTTCGGAATCCCAAAGCCGCCCTCCTACCCAAGCTCACTTCTACACCTGTGGTCCTCTCATTCGCCTCCGCCCCCTTCCCAGGCCACCAAGATGACGACGACTACAGTCTCCTGGTCATCACTACAATGAAGCAGCTCCTTGTATTCCACCCTCTTCAGGGTGCTCTTTCCGACTGGTCTCGCAGGAACACATATGCCAAGCTCCCCGAGCAGTTCCGGGTTACACGGGATCTCGTAAAGGGCGTTCTATGGCAAGGACCGAGAGCCTGGATCTATGGCATCTCCTTCTTGTTTATGGTTGATCTCTCACAAGATTTTGGTGGAGACAAGGAAATAAT